ATGGTGCCAGGCCATTAAGCTTGTGGTATACAGAATCCTAGATGGAGAAGAAAAGTGACCACCGGTTCATTTGAGCCTGAGAGTTTGAGATGGAAGTACTGAATAGGAGATGAGAAATTGGGGCAGGAGCTCTGACAGGGTGAGAACACCCAACATGAGCTGGGTATCAGACAGTCATCAGTATTGAGTACCCTGTGGGAAACTCAAGAAACAAAGAGGGGAGCGATTCAGTCTAGGAGGCAAAGCGATTATTTACTCATCCAGCAAAATTTTCTTAAGGACCTATCTGTCGAGCACTTCCTCATGTGCCAGGAATACAGTGGTAAATAAGAGAAGGGGTGTCCTCTTCAGAAACCTCATCCTCAGCCATGAAGGCCAGGGATGGTCAATAATGTTAAATGATGAAGAAGTCAGCCATAGAGGGACAGATAAAGGGCCTTTGTATTTGTCAATAGAGTGGTCACCCTTGACTTTCTAGAAGGCAGTTTCAATAGTTTTGGTAATAGAAATCAGATTGAATGGGGAACATTTGGTGAGACAATGGAGCTAAGAGCAAGACTCTGTTTATTCCCAGAATCTGTTTTGTTTTCCACTCCCCTGGCACTTATTCAGATTTTTTGCCACCTTCAGTTTGATTAATTTCTGTTACAATAGTAATCCTCTGATATTTCAATTCGGACTCTAAATAACATTAAAGTCAAGTTACAATGTAGTCACAGATCAGTTTCATGCTTCTAAAAACATAATAACCCCATACTATATTTTTATGTTTTTTGCCATTCAGACTCAAATGAATAATATAAGTGGATATCACCAATACATTTTAAAATGGTAAGACTTTGCAAGAGCCATGGAAGCTTTTTAATCAGCACTGAGAGAGATGATTAGCAAAGAGAAAGAAAAAAATAAAAAGACCATCACTTGAAGTGGTGGCAAGAATCCAGCTTTTACTGTCTTTCCTTGTGCCTGGGACAGTCTAGGACAGGATCAGACAGGGCTCAGATATTTGCATTCCCTCCACCTCCTCTGTCTATTCCTGTGAAGAAGAAGGGAAAGAGAGAACAGAAGGTGATGCAGAAATAATGTGCAGAGTTTGGTTGGAGAATGGTTTCACTCTTCTAGTCTATTACTAATCTCTATTAGCATGGTCTCATTAACAAAGATTTCGTGTTGTTTTGTCTTATTTGAAAGAGAACAGGAACGTCTGGTTGTCATATGTAACATTTCATGTTTCTCTGATTGCTCCATGCATTACATCTCTCTGAAATACTCACAGCTAGCTGATCTGTGTCATCCAGCAATTTCCCATAGATCTTGAAATGAATGAGCTGGATTATGTGAGAATATGAATGCTGTAGGTTCACCTAGTACATTGGGCATGAGACTAGGAAGGTAGACATCTGTGTGAGTCTCTATCCCAGTTAAAACTGATCGGCACTACCAGTCACGGCTGTTAACACATAGTATAGATATTCATTGATTTGATTCTGTTTGACTTGATTTGGTTAGCATAGTTTGGAGAAATTCAGTTTCTCTGTGTTTCTACATCTAGATTAGGAATCATTCCTACCCCTGTATTATACGACATAATGATCTATAACTGCCTTTAAGTCCAGCTAAGAAATGTATGCTCAGGTGTATGTTGAATATAAGTCATTCTCCAATAAGCACCCATACTCTACTCCCACCCTGATTCTGACCTATCCATTGAACGGACATTTCTGCACAAGTGCAATCAGGGGATGCAGTGGTCAAAACAGACAGAAATACTTCAGGAGAGGCTCATTAGCTCTATAAATGTGAAGCCAAGTATACAGATCGTCAGAAGCTCTGATGATGTTGCTACGGCTTTGAGAATTTGGCTATACTGACAGAGTAGAAAAAGACAACAAACTATTCTCTCTTGGTAAGGGTTTTTAAAGTTAGGTCTGAAAATTCGAATAGTTTGAGGTTCTACATTTATAAGGGAGTCAAGCCTGAAAATGAGCTGTATTCTTGTTTGGGCGTAACATAGGAGATGGTCCTTGAAGTGGAGAATGTGCAGTGCTTAGACGGATGGGTCACTGTGTAAGGCTGGTGGTTGGGGGAATCACAGCAAGATTCTATTGGTATAATGCCCCTTTTTAAAGTTTTTATTTAAATTCGTGTTGCCATACAGCATACTATTAATTTCAGGGGTACAATATAGTGATTCAACACTTCCATACAGCACCTGGTGCTCATCACAAGTGCACTTCTTAATCCCCATCACCTATTTCACCCCTCCCACCCTCCCCTCTGGTAACCATCAGTTTGTTCTGTATAGTTAAGAATCCATTTCTTGGTTTGTCTTTCTCTCTCTCTCTCTTTTTTCCTCTTATCATTTGTTTTGTTTCTTAAACTCCAATGTAAGTGAAATAATATGGTATTTGTCTTTCTCTGAATGACTTATTTTGCTTAGCATAATACTCTCTAGTTCCACTCATATTATTGCAAATGGCAAGATTTCATTCCTTTTTATGGCTGAGTAGTAGTCAATTAAATCTATACCTATCTAGATATAGATATAGAAAGATATCTTTATCCATTTGTCTATCAATGTACACTTGGTTGTTTCCATAATCTGGTTATTGTAAATAATGCTGCTATAAGCATCAGGGGGCGCATGTGTCCCTTTGAATTTGTATTTTTGCATTCTTTCAGTAAATACCCAGTAGTGCAATTGCTGGATGGTAGGGTAGTTCTATTTGTAACTTCCTGAGGGAACGCTATACTGTTTTCCAGAGCAGCTACACCAGTTTGCATTGTCACCAACGGGGCAAGAAAGTTCTCCTTTCTCTTTTCTCCTTTCCCCACATGCTCATTAACACCTGCTGTTTCTTGTGTTGTTGATTTTAGCCATTCTGATAGGTATGAGGTGATATCTCATTGTAGTTTTGATTTGCATTTCCCCGATGGTAAGTGATGTTGAGCATCTTTTCGTGTGTCTGTTGGCCGTCTGTATGTCTTCTTAGGGAAAATGTCTATTCATGTCTTCTGCCCATTTTTAATTGGATTATTCATTTGTGGGGTGTTGAGTTTTAGATATATTTTGGATACTAACTCTTTATCAGATATGTCACTTGCAAATATCTTCTCCCATCTTTTTCCCATTGAGTACTCTTTCCTGCTTTGTCAAAGATTAAATGACCCTATAATTCTGGGTTCCATTGATCTATGTGTCTGGTTTTGTGCCAGTACCATACTGTTTTGATTACTACAGCTTTGTAAGATAACTTGAAGTCTATAATTGTGATGCCTCTGACTTTGCTTTTCTTTTTCAAGGTTGCTTTGACTCTTCAGGGTCTTTTGTAGTTCCATACAAGTTTTAGGATTATTTGTTCTAGGTCTGTGAAAAATTCTATTGGTATTTTGATAGAGATTGAATTAAATGTGTAGATTGCTTTCGATAGTAGACATTTTAACAATATTTGTTCTTCTAATCCATGAGCATGGAATGTCTTTCCATTTTTTGTGTGTTCTCCTCAGTTTCTTTCATCACTGTTTTATAATTTTCAGAGTACAAGTCTTTTACCTCTTTGTTTAGGTTTATCCCTAGGTATCTTATTAGTTTTAGTGCAATCGTAAATGGGATTGATTTCTATTAATTTCTCTTTCTGCTGCTTCATCATTGGTGTACAGAAATGCAACAGATTTCTGTACATTGATTTGTATCCTGAAACTTTACTGAATTCGTTTGTCAGTTCTAGCATTTTTTTGGTGAGTCTTTCAGGTTTTGTACAGAGAGTATCCTGTCATCTGGAAGTAGTGAAAGTTTTACTTCTCTTTTGCCAGTTTGGATGCCTTTTATTTCTTTTTGTTGTCTGGTTGCTGTGGCTAGGACTTGCAGTACTATGTTGAACAGCAGTGGTGAGAATGGACATCCTTGTCTTGTTCCTGATCTTAGAGGAAAAGCTCACTTTTTCCCCATTGAGGATGATATTAGCTGTGGATTTTTTATATGTGACCATTGTTACATTAAGAATATGCTCCCTCTAAACCTACTTAGTTGAGAGTTTTTATCATGAATCGATGCTGTACTTGGTCAAATGCTCTTTCTGCATCTATTGAAATCATTATATGGTTCTTATACTTGCTTTTATTGATGTGACGTATCGCAGCGATTGATTTGTGAATATTGAACCACCCTTACAGCCCAGGAATAAATCCCAGTTGATCGTGGTGAATTATTTTTTTACTGTATTGTTGGATTCAGTCTGATAGTATTTTGTTGAGGATTTTTACATCTGTGTTCATCAGAGATAATTGGCCTGTAGTTCTTTTCATTTGTGATGTCTTTATCTAGTTTGGGTATCAGGGTAATGCTGGCCTCATAGAATGAATTTGGAGGTTTTCCTTCCTTTTCTATTTTTTGGAATAGTTTAAGAAAAATAGGTATTAACTCTTCTTTAAATAATTGGCATAATACTCCTTTTTTTAAATTTTTTTAACGTTTATTTATTTTTGAGACAGAGCATGAACAGGGGAGGGGCAGAGAGAGAGGGAGACACAGAATCTGAAAGGGGCTCCAGGCTCTGAGCTGTCAGCACAGAGCCTGACACGGGGCTCGAACTCACGGACTGTGAGATCATGACCTGAGCCGAAGTCGGACGCTTAACCAACTGAGCCACCCAGGCGCCCCGGCATAATACTCCTTTTTAAAGATTTTTCTGGCAGCTCTGACTCCTCTCCCCTTCATCCTCTGAACTGCTGCACACTATTCCATACTACCAAGGCATGCATTTCTTTTCTTCCCCTTTTTCCTTTCCCTTACCTCTCAAAGCCCCAGACCACCAGACAATCAAAAGGAACACAGGGTAAGAAATATGATAAGGGTTGGTTGGGGGCGCAAAGGTATTTCCTCTTTCTCCCAGCTTGAGCCCCAGTTGTGTGTAAGTAATTTCTTATTTACCCCAAAAGGAAAACTTGCTTGATAACAGTCTTTGTAATTGAATACTTGTTTATGATCACCTTTCTTGTAGGTATCTCTAAAGAAGAAGAGCCAAAAATATTGAGGCCCCCAAGACGGCCCCGGAAACCCAAAACATTAAATAACCCTGAGGACTCCACATACTATTATCTACTACATGTAAGTGGCTCACTCTTACCATCAGATGGGAGCCATTGCAGCCACTAAAGCCCCTCTTGCACATGGTCCAGGCCTCTCCTACAGTCCTGTAAACCCCCTGTCCTCCAGTAGTCTTCTCTGCTGGCCTGTTAATTGAGCTGAGATGCAAATACCAACCCAGAAAGAGAAGTGCATCAGAACAGGAGCTCTGCAGAGAGGGACTTTGGGTCAAAAGGCAAGTTTTAGGGAAAGAAGAAGAAAGGAAAAGAGGAAGAAAGAGACGTTTACTTGAGCACCATTTAAATTCTAGCACTAGAGGTGTTCATATACACTGTGACATCTAATCCTATGAATAGCCCTTAAGGTGGTGTCCCCATCTCACTGGTCGGGACTACCCAGGTAGGCACTCCATAGCTATTGGGGTCTTTAGCTACACCGAGGTCTTCTGACTGCACAACTCCTGCTCACTCCCTGTAACATGAGGCCTCACTGGTCCCACCCCTGCCAGTCTGCCCTTCCTCTCCTGTTCCTGCTCTCTGCAAATGCCACCATCATCCATTGGTGACCCAAACCAAGAACATGGGAGTCATCCTGGATCTTTCACTCTCTCTCATTCCTGACATCCAATCTGTTGCTCTAAAGTGTGGCTTCTACCGACCAAGGCTCACTCCTATTCATGCCCTGCCTCTGACCTCATAGGCAGCACTCTACGTTAGACCATCATTATCCCCCACCTAGAATATTTCAGGCTTCCAAGCTCAGCTTCTTCAGCCCCTATCAAAATGTTTCTCTAAACCGTCTTGTGATTGCACTCCTCCCTTGATGATCCCTCTAATAGCTTGGCAGTTCCTTCAGTGCAAAGTCCATATGCTGTGGAGGACCTCCTCCTTGGACCCAGGACTACTCTTCAGCCCCCTCTCCAGGCTCCCCATGTCCACTTAGCCACGGTTAACTGCTAAAACCCTGCCAGCGAGTGCCTTTCTCTCATGCCCCTCAGTCCTTTGCACCTGCTGGTCCTTCCTTCTGCAATACTTATTCACTTTTCCACTCCCACTGCCGCAGAGAGAGAGCACCGGTTCTCCGTGCCCCCACTGCACCCAGAGAATGTTTCCCACCAATTGGAATTAAGTTTACCAGCTCCTGGGCAGAAGATGGAGCTCCCACTTGCTTTCTAAGTCAAATGGTCTCCTCCTCTTCCCTTCTCTCTGGTGGTTTCTCCCCATTGTCTTTGGAAGGCTCCTCTCCACCTTGGTGTTGCCTAGAGTTCAATCTTGGGCTCTCTTCCCCTCTCTTTACCTTTGGACAATCTCATGACCTCAGTTCTACTGATTCCTGAGTCTATCTCTGGCTATATCTCTCTCTCTAGCTCCACACTCAAATGTCAAACTGGCTAATGTTTGTTTTACATCCTCTACATGGGTGCACATAGGCATCTGTCCATCTGCATGTGCATGCGTGCACGCACACACACAGACACACACAGCTTTATTGAGATATGTCACATGCTATACAATTCACTTATCTAAAATAGACAACTAAATGGTTGTCTTATATTCAGGGATGTACAACCATCACCACAATCAAGTTTAGAACATTGTCATCACCCCAAAAAGAAACCCCATGCCCATTAGCAGTCATTCCCCACCCACACCCTCCAGCCACAAGTAAACACTAATCTACCTTATGTCTCTGTTAGATTTGCCTATTCTGAACGTTTCATATAACTATAAATGTGCTGCACATGGTCTCTGTGAATGAATGATTGACTTTTTATAAACTAGTAATCAGAATATTATCCTGACTCCTCCCCTTTCTCATCTAGCATATCCAAGAATCTACTCTCATATCTCTTGAATTTCTGTTCTTCTCCACATCCTCAGCCCACGGCCTCCTCAGGCCAGCATTTCTACTTGATATTTCTGCATCCCTCCTCTTACTTTTTTCTTGTTTTGCTCCCCTTCTCATTCATGCATCTTTCACATGGTAGCTAGAGTTGTGTTCTTGAAATTAACGTCTGATCATGCCACCCCTCTGATGGAAAACCTTGTAATCACTTCCTAGTGTCCTGTGGTAGAGGGGCTGGGCAATATCAGGGCCTTGCTTACCTTTCCTTTACCTTCCTGTACCTCCTTATACTCATTCACCCCTCCTTACTCTCCACTACAGCCATTCCCTCCTGTTAGCCTGTACCTGTTCTTCACGTTGTCCATAGGCATTTGTCCCTGAACATGCTCTGTCCTCAGACTAAAACCCACTTCTTTTTCTATTCTCACTTTCTGGGGACAAAACGTCCCAGCCTACATGTCTTTTTCTTCAGGAAGACTTCCTAATACTCCCAAATCCCAAAGGAGCTTTTCCTGTGTCCTTCCTAAGTGGCCCATACTTCCCTGTCACCATGCTGTATCCCACCAAAGAGTGATTGATGTGGTTTCCGTGAGGTCAAGGAGTTTGCCCTTACATTTAGCCTGCCACATAGTATGCATGCAATAAGTATTCGTGGCACAAATGAGTGCAATGAAATTTGAGTAAAATACAATTAGAAGTAAATTAAGGAAGTGAAAATTCCAGATAGCTGCATTGGGCTTTTACTTGATAAAAATCTTGATTACAGATTTTTTTCTACACTGCCCTCCCCCAGAAGGAAGTAGATAGCCTGACATTTGTTTATGTAGTTAAATAGAGAGAAGAGCAGAGAACAAGATTAGAAATTACTAGACATTCCCTATTAACCCTGAATATAAGTGGTAAATGATGCTCAGTGACCTTTATTAACTACATCTCAAATGACAATTGACCATGAGGGCTTCAACAACAGACGCCATCCTCGATATGAGAATTTATAAGAGCTTGAGATAAGGTGAAATGTCCATTGCTAACAACCACCCTTTCAGTGAGAATCATGCAACAGATTCTGAGCCTCACAAATGAGTCCCTGCCCTCAAGAAGTTTACTTCACTTTTGTACTATTCTTTTTTTAAATGAATATAAAGGGTTTGATAGATCTCAAATTACTAGTGACTGGAATTCTGTTTATAGCCATGAGTCTTGAAATCTGTGGCTTCAGTGAAAAATAAAACATGGAAAACCAGAAGATTAGTATAAATGACAGCACACCATGCATTCCTATTTATCTGGCCCTTATCCAAATTTGGGTCATTACACATAGTGGGATCTGTAGCTGTGATAGGGCCCATGCCCTTGAACCATCAAAACACTGTCTGTAATTTTAGCTGGGCTGTAGTTGCATGGAAATGGGCACCAGTGGGCAGAGTGGGCTATGGCCAGGCAAGAACACAGAAAGGGTGGCGGCGGGCAAGGGGAACATGGATGGGGTGGTGCCCACTCCTCCTGCTGCCGCAGCCTCCTGCCAGTACAGGAGCATTGAATGCAACCAAGAGGTCAAGGAGTAGTGCCGAGACCATAACCACGGAGTGCTGAAGATAGCCATCTGCGAATCCTACCAGACACCTGTAGGCAAATATTGAGTATGATCCTGTTATCATCTTGACTAATGCCATTTTATGCAAAGCCCAGACCTACAGATGAATTCTTTTCAGGACTAAAATAAACACACCTGGGAAACTCTGCATATTTTGTTTGCTTTGTGAAGTGTACCTGAGGCGGTGGCCGCTTCAGGATTCAGACCAGAACACTGATCCTGACGACTCCATCGTGGAGCGGGATTTCCATAGAATGTTTGCAATTGTTTCACTAGAACAAATCACCTTTTTTATTGGCATCTTTACTTTCCTGTGGGTACAACGACCAACTGATGACAGTGAAAAAACAAATAAACCCAACTTCATTTTCGTGTTGCTGCTGAAAGCACGATTATCGTCTAGCAATGGAAAACTCTTGCTGATTGCAGCCGTCATTTGGGAACATGACCACACACTCCTGTGCCTCAGACTCATTAAAATATTTGTCGTAATATTAAATTTTCAGGCAGTTAGACTGACCCTGAATATCAAATGAAAGCTCCCCTTGGCCATCCTGAGCGGCTTACTGGTGGAAAGCACCATGGATGTGTAGGAAGTGATTGTGCCATCTATAAATCTCCAGACTTGCTGAAGACTTGTATTCTTTATTATCTGTCGCATGACCCACTGCAACCAAAATAGAGAAGACCTAAAATCCAAACCAGGCTCCTCATTTCTGTTGAACAAAATGAAACAAAGATTTGGGTACACTTCCTGAAAAAGAAAGCAATGGTTATGGCATTGAAAACCCCTAAAACTGCTACACCTCACCCAACCCCCCCCAACCATGTAAGAAACAGCCAAACCACATACAGATACACAAGGACACAGGGAATGTTGCTGTAGGGAATGAGGTATGCAACAAGTGAAGATTTATATTTATACACAACTTCAGGTAAGCATTTGAATTGAAGAAGGAACATGAATTCATAACGTGCACATGAAAAGATCTATGTTTCAAAAAAAAAACCCACTTTCTGTAATTTCAAATGGCATTCATGAAACTCTAAAATTATTTCTATTTCAGAAATCTAGAAATTTAGAAATAGAAATAAATTTCTATTATACTACACATGTTAAACCTTTTCTTGATGACCCAAGGCCAATGTACGGAGCAAAAACGTTTGGATTTATTTAGATTTATGAGGTAGCACCCCATCTCTCTGCATTCTCCTGGCCCTGCTTCATTTTCTGCCTTAAATCAACACCAGCACTCTTCTGAGAGTTGGTGCTCTTAATCTCTTATATCTAGCAGATGTTGCTATCCTTGTGTCCAAAATCAGGATGAGCTGAGCCTAGCATGCCCGGAGGACCTGGGCAGAGCACACACCCCCTGTTGTTTCCGCCCTCAGAGCTGTGCAGCCATCACAAAAAGTGACTTGGGGCCAACAGTTCCCTCACAAAATGAGTAACTAAACACAGTCCCATCAAAGGTCCTTCTGGTTTTACTCTTTTCTCCAGGACCTTTCCGAAACTGATAGGTAGGTAGTAGGGGTAGGTAATTGGGCCGCTCCAGTGTGGGGTTTTTTTCCTTCTATGTTTTGGCTACTTTCTTCATCCTTGTGAGTCCCCCTAAGTAAATAAAGTGTTAGTGTTTTTCCAAAAGGAATGTAAGATTGTATCCACCAGAATGTAGCAAATATGAATTTTATTTTACTCTATTTCTTCCTTTTTTTTATTTTTTATTTTTTAATTTTATTTAAGTCCAAGTTAGTTAACATACAGTGTAATAATGATTTCAGGAGTAGAGTTCAATGATTCATCACTTACACACAATACCCAGTGCTCATCCCAGCAAGTGCCCTCCTTAATGCCCATCACTCATTTAGCCCAGCCCCTACCCACCTCCCCTCCACCAACCCTCAATTTGTTCTCTATATTTAAAAGTCTCTTATGATTTGCTTCCTTCTCTCTTTTTATCTTATTTTCCTTCATTTCCCCTTTGTTCCTCTGTTTTCTCAAATTCCACATATGAGTGAAATCATATGATATTTATTTTTCTGACTTGTTTCGCTTAGCATAATACACTCTAGTTCCATCCATGTTTCAAATGGCAAGATTTCATTCTTTTTGATCACTGAGTGATACACGGATGTGAATTTTAAAGTTCTGTCATAAATATATTTCTTTGCGTCAACTGGGGGAGGAGGGGCTGTCGTGTAGCTAACTGAGAAACAGGTTCTTCAGAGTCCAGCGGGCGAAGACCTCTGACTTCCAAAGTCCTCAAGAAATACCCTCCCCAGAATATCTTCTCCTTGTACCATCTGTATCTACTTCTCTCTCTCTCTCTCTCTTCTTCAGTTCTATAAGAAACTGACAGGATAGGGGCGCCTGGGTGGCGCAGTCGGTTAAGCGTCCGTCTTCAGCCAGGTCACGATCTCGCGGTCCGTGAGTTCGAGCCCCGCGTCAGGCTCTGGGCTGATGGCTCAGAGCCTGGAGCCTGTTTCCGATTCTGTGTCTCCCTCTCTCTCTGCCCCTCCCCCGTTCATGCTCTGTCTCTCTCTGTCCCAAAAATAAATAAACGTTGAAAAAAAAAAAAAAAAGAAACTGACAGGATATTTACTTCTCTATTTTCATTTCAAATTTCAAGTCAGTGATTTATAATTTCAAAACTACAATCGAGGGGTGCCTAGGTGGTTCAGTTGTTAAGCGTCTGACTCTTGGTTTCAGCTCATGGTTTCATGGGCTCGAGCCCTACATTGGGCTCTACACTGACAGTATGGAGCCTGCTTGGGATTCTCTCTCTCTCTCTCTCCCTGTCTCTCGGCCCCTCCCCTGCTCACGCTGTCTCTGTCTCTCTCGAAATAAATAAATAAAAATAAATTTTAAAAAAACTATAATTGAAAACATTGTTTGTCTTAGCAATAAACGCCACTAATATAAAGTCCCAGGTGGTAAAATTAGTATTCAGTCCTCTCCCTTGAGGGTACAGTTTCGTACCTCCCTTTTGGCACCAGCTGCCAGGACACTAAGACAAATGTAAGGCCCCATCCTAACACACTCTTGACCTCTTTGTTCCTCATTTACAACTTCTACTTTATCACCTTAGTTGTGTAATTGCTTCCATGATAAACCACCTTAAATAATTTTGGGGAAAATATATTAATGAATTACATTTCATTGGAATATTCTAGCACAGGCAAGAGTGAAATAAAGCAGAAGACCGGACTGTATTTCCTCTTCTAAGAATTCCTGTAACTGGGAACCAAATTATATACACCATTTCCCAGAGGGAAATGCTGGTCCAGAATAAAAAATGGTCCTTACCAGCTTGCAAATTCAAGGGCAGAACGTTATTTGATTTGTGGTGGTATAAAGGGGACCTCTGTCACTCAACATAGTGCCAATCATTTAAGCATAACTTTGGATTATGGAAAATTGTTACTGAGAACAAGAGACATTTTTTTTTCAGATAACAGATCAAGGAGGAAGGACCTCTGTCATATTAAAACAACAACAACCACAACAAATACTACCTGGGTTCCAGGGATCATTGACTAGACTGCTGGGGTCCATTGTATCTATGGTGGTAATATAATTATTTGTATGCACCTCCCAGCCCAAGGCATTGGATCAGGAATGTAATAGGAAATGAGAAGGAGGGCATGAATGTAATTGATGTCCTGCCCCTTAACATGGTTACTTCTTAAATGGTCCACTCTCAGACTTGATGCATTTAAGCATTCCTTCTACCTCGTCCACCCACTAAAATACCAACCAATGAGAATAAGTGAAACATGAACTGTTTGATTTATCCAACATTTTAGTGTATTACAAATGCTAAATCATGAGAAAAAATGAATGTGCCTAAAAAATACTGGAGAAAACCCTCAATACTTACAAACCATTATCAGCTGCCATTTTTATTATCTTGCCATTTTTATTATGGTGCCAGCCAACTTGATATCTGCATTAGGGTTTCCACACTTACAGTATCTTCAGCTTGTTCAAGGTGAGTGTCCTGTTTGTTCTCTCAGCCTAAAAGACACATATGCTCTTGCAACATGTAATAGGTGAGCTCAAATATCTTGAGGCAGCTGACAGTGAAACGCATTACTAATGTTACAATATAAAAGGTGATATTGCTTTGTATGTAAGGTACCATTTTGTTATTGTTCAGATTGAAGTATTGATTAAAAGGTATCTAATTAAATCTAGACCTACATATTCTAATTTCTGCCTTGATACATAAATTCTCAACCGTGAAAACATTTTACAAATGAACATACGTATCCTCTAGTCTGTTACTTTTATACCATAAATGGGCTCTTGGTAAGTCACACTTCCATTCTTTTGTGGACTATTGCACCTGCCTTCACTGTCCACCCACCTGCTTCGCCAGCAGACAAAGATGACGTATAAGCAAGATGTCAAAGCCACCTAATCAGCTTGCCTAAAGCACAGCGCATTTGTGATGGAGAGATGGGTTTTCCAGGAATTCTGACATAATTTTTCCCATTTATAGGTAGATGGACCTTAGGTAATCTTGTGTATACTGGTCACTGTGTGGTAAGCTCTTTTCGGCATGGAATGCAAAGATTATTTGCAATCCGGTAAAAACATAATCACAAATACATAATTAATAAAATTTGAGTGAATTATATTTCATTAGATTTTTAAAACATTGTGTCCATTTGCTTATTTCCAAATTGGCTTTATAAGAACAAATGTATTTATATATTAATATAGTAATTATATCAGTTACATTACATTAATCATAATATCCTGATTTTTAACTTTTTTCTATTGCTTTTAGAAGTCAATCCAAGAAGAAAAACGAAGACCAAGGAAAGATAGGTAATTATTACTTCTAGATTTCAGTGTCATCTTATCAAACCAAAATATAAATCCATGTGTTCAAATTATGACTGAAAATCATCTATTTTTTTAAAAATCACCTATTTCATATGTGTAGATTTGGAAAGTAGCATGCTCTCATACATTTATATGATGAATATGTGGTTTATATATAATTTAGAAGATATCACCTATTGGAAATATGTTGAGCTAGCACAGTGTGAGGCATACATTAAGAACTCAAATAGTTTGTGAATGAATTGTACTGTCCCAATTCAGAATTTGCTTTTCTTGGTCCATTTCTTGGTTTTGATCAGGAAATTGGAACACACCCATGTCCATGAACTTTCTTTCCCCAAACCCCTTTGCTTTCTGTTCTTTGACACATGCTAAATCTCATTCCTTGTAATGTTTATGGATTTGTCAGGAAATAAGGTTTGTGTCACCTGCAGGTGTGACAACTTAGATTCACACTAGTCCCCATTTCCTATAACATTTCAGCCCACCAATACTTTACTAATTTAACATTGTAACACTATTTCAATTAACTGACTTCCAGAGTGTGCTAATAACAACTGAGGGTTCTTCTACTAAGATGAGTGGACACTGAACTCCTGACTTATGTATCGGTGGCATTCTGAAAGCTCATTTGTAAATTGGTATCTGTAACTTGAAAAACACTTTTCCCCAGAAACACTGTAACGCTTGGTAGTTTTCTAGACCTATATCTGTTTACCTCATATGAAGTCCCATCAGACCACAGGTACTGAGCATCACAGAACTAATGTGAGTAAATCCAGGAATTAAAATGGTCACGGACACACCTCTGTGTGTATGCCATGTGTAGGAATTAAAATTTAGCCCAGAAATTAACCCACTAAAGGCCAATGGTAAGGAAAGGACAGAAAGTTACCTGTGAAGGAAGTAAGAAGGTCATGAAACATTGTGTACATCCATGTACTTAACTGATGCCTGAGAAAATTGGAAAATGCTATGTGTTGATACATAAAGGTAAGGTTTTCTCAGAGTGGCCCAAGGGCCAGTTATGAACCCTCTCCTAGACTGGCCAAACTGGAACTTTGTAATCACTCCTGTCTAGTAACTACTAATTTTGTACCAAGTTGAATGAGATTAAACCAGGAAAATGCTCTCTTAAAGGTGAGAGATGAGGGGTTTTTTTTCTTTTTTAATTTATGGTATATACTGTGTTTGTGCATTTCAAGACTTCTCTTGTTTCTATTGACATGAATTGTTACTCCTAAATTATACTAAATAAAAGAAGAGAACAATATCCTATAAGTTTGAGTAGAAAAGTAGACTGAAGCTATGATGTGTTTATGTGTTCATTTACAGTCAGGGGAAATTATTAGATTTGGAAGATTTCTATTATAAGGAATTTTTGCCTAGTCGTTCTGGACCAAAGGAACATAACCCTAGCTTAAGAGAACGAAGACAAGAGAGAGAACACCAGCATCGATGTTTTAATGCTGATGAAAGGTAATACGCTACCTACTAAGGTACAGCATGTTCCCTGTGTTACTCACAGTTCCATTTATAAAGCACTGCCATTCTGTCTTTGGACTATAACAAAATATTCTCACTGAATGTTGCCTCTTAAGATTGATATGTTTTAAAAAAGATTGATATGTTATCTTAAAGTAAACTCGTAAGGATTATGGTCAGGTATTCAGACAACCCAGTTTTATACCTGTTTTCTTGGTGTTACTGTTAGTAGCACTCCCTTTTACTTTATTTTATTTTATTAATTTTTGAGAGAGAGGGAGAGAGAGAACATAAGCAGGGGAGGGGCAGAGGGAGAGGGAGAGAGAGAATCTTAAGCAGGCGCCACACCCAACATGGAGCCCAACGTGGGGCTCAATCTCATCATGACCTGAACCAAAATCAAGAGTCAGACGCTCAACCGGCTGAGCCACCCAGGTGCCCCAATGGCAGCCCCCTTTTAAAAGTACCTCACTTTGGGAGCCCCTGGGTGGCTCAGTCGGTTGAGCAGCTGGCTATTGATTTCAGCTTAGGTCAATGAACTCACGGTTCATGGGATCAAGCCCCATAATAGGCTCTGTGCTAACAACAGGGAGTCTGCTTGGGATTCTCTCTCTCCCTCTTTCTCTCTGCCCCTCCTCGTTCTCTCTTAGTCTCTCTCTCTCAAAATAAATAAACATTTAAAAAAGTAAATAAAAAATAAAAGTGCCTCACTTCGGATGATAAATTACATGGCCATACTAATTACAAGCAACAGGCAACAAGTCAAAATCTGTGTTTAAGTTCTAACCAATGGAATTTTAAACACTTACTGGTTTCTCAGTTATGCTGTATATGTTCTCAGAATCCGCAATGTCAGACCAAAAAGTATCCGGAAGAAAGATTCACATAGAAGTATATATTTTGGATTTGATTTCTCAGTTTGCCATTAACTTTGCTTGACATTAAGTATCTCAAACCATTTTTGCTCACTTACTACTTTGCAAATGTTTTCCCTGAAAAAATTCTTTGTGAAGTTTTGAAAGTGAAGGCACATAGTAAAATGCAAACATTGTATGTGAGAGAGAAACCAGAATAAGGACAGGCAACGAAAAGCTGTTTTGCCAAAATCCTGAGCGAACGTCCTGTCAGCCCAGGGCACTCAGACCCTTCACGGTCTCTTTTGCAGTGCGACCTGGTGCTTTAGAGTCAGAGAGTCTTAGATTTGGATCCTGATTCTGCCACTTGGTAGACGAGTGACCTTGCTCGCATTGCCAGACCTCCCTAAGCTTGTTTCCACATCTAGGAAAGGATTCACTAAAAACTGCCTCACCACGTTGTCATAGAGGTTAAGTGAAATTATGTATGTGAAGCACTCAACATCAGATGTGCCACAGGGGAGAGGCTCCGGAGATGGTGGCCTTTTTCATCTTTATTTGCTTTTCCAGAATCTACTTGATTTCTGACCCTTGTCTCCAAAGAAAATGTCTTTCTTCCATCTTGAGATCAAGAACTGTAACATATTGCCAGAACTTAGAGATGCTCTAGTCTAATCACAGGGTCCTACATAGGAGACTACCGAGTGCCCAGCAAGATTAAATGACTTGCCCCAGGTTCCACATTGAGTCAGTGAATTAAAACCCAAGGTTTGTCACTGACTTACCTGCTTCCCATTTTAAGAAGCCAGCCTGTCTCCTCTCTAGTATATTCTCTGCCTTCCCCCAACCACAGACACACATCTGCTGGAAAAATATCATATCCCTGAGCTTCTGGCGTTCCAGCGGTGCCTGTGGATGTGAAGTTGGAATTCACCAGAATGAGGATGCTACAAGCTAGTGTTGGCTGAATGCTTCCTTCAGGCTGGCCATTGTGCCGGGCACTGACTTCATCCTTATGGCAACCTTGTGAGGCAGTCACTCTCATTGCCCCGTTATATAGATGACAAGGCTAAGTCTCAAAAGTTTAATGACTGCAAAGTCACCTAGATGAAAAGTGAGGGGGCCAGAATTTGAACACAGGCCTTTTTGAGTTGAAAGTCCATGATTTTCACCACTACCCTGTATTGCCTCCCCGTGCAAAGCCCTGTGCCGGGTGCTCGAGGAAGAGGTGGACACAGTGTGCATGTGATGTAATCTCTGTCACCAAAGAGCTTGACTCTAGAGAGAAAGTAAAGATCTAACAGAGATAAACAAGGTAACCTTGTGTATACACACACACACACACACATGCACGTATGTACACACATACACACACACCATCAGTTTTTCCTCATTAGCCTGCCTTGTCTACATAGCACCTGCCACCACCTGGCATATTAAGGTTGTCTATAGCCCTCTCCCACACTAGATTAAACTCCATGGGAATGAGGGTTTTTGTTCACCTTTAGCCTACACTAATGGCTAATACTTAGTAGGTGCCACATAAGTAAATGAATGCACCTATGTGGCTGCATAGGGAGCACCCTTCTTCTCCAGGCAAGTTATAGAATCTAGAGGTAAAGTGGGTGGGGTTTCCCAACTCTACCGTCGGGAAAGGTGGCCCAACAGCCTCACCGAGAGAGCTGACAGGACCCACAGCTAACTGGTTGACCAGATTTGGAAGGAGTGTTGGAGAGAAACATTTGAGTGGTTTTAAGATGAGAAATGATGGTTGTCTATTTAGGCACTTCGAATTTTCCTGTTTGAATAAAATGGGTTAAAAATTAAGGTACTAAAATATTTATTTATTGGTTGTGAGTTACTTCAAACCAAAGGAAGCTCGCCTTTCTCAACTGCACCTTCTGACACCTTACTTAGCTGTCATCCAAACACAGTCACCCTCCCCCCCCCCCCCCCCCCCCCCCCGTCTGCTTGGGGAAAATTGAAAATCTGCTGAGAAAATTATGCAGCTGCGTTTGGCCTTTCTCCTGATGTTTTGAATGTGCCCTTCTTAAATGCCTGTAGTTGGGGGGAGTGGGAGGAATAGAACCGCCTAACGGGATGGGCGGGGCTGCGCTGCGCTCTGGCGCCTCTGACTTTCGGGCCCTGGGTCTCACTGCAGGTGCTGGGCGGAGGAGAACCAGGGGCTGGAGGAAAATGGGCCCGCAACCAATCCCTACGACTACAGGAGGCTCCTGCGCAAGACCTCCCAGCGGCAGCGCCTCGTGCAGCAGGTGTAGCCCGGCTGGTGGAGGCCACCGCGGTGGGAATGTGCGCGAGACTGCGGGGTTGCAGGAGCCAAAGCCCGGGCGCTGGCACGACCAGGCGCTGATGCCCCGGCCCTGACCATGGCAGGGGCCGCCCAATGCGCTCCGCCTCTCGAGTGTCAGGGCCAGCCTCACCGAAGGAGGAGGAGAAGTGAGAGCCTTGGATGCCGCGTCTCGGCACTCCGGCACCCTGCACTCCCACCAGCCCGCCAGCTGGGGCATCCCTATCCCTGGCCCCCAATGTATCTCTTTGTTCACTCATTTGAGACTCCTGTGGACCCGACTGC